GCACATTTTACACAGATTGCCATTTTGTGACAATAATTTTTAGTATGCCCAAATTCCTGACATCTCATACATTGAGGAATATCTCTTTTTTTATGAGGAGGTTCTATTGTGACAACAGTGTTCATAAGTCTGTTGATTTTATATATTTCTTTGTTGTTATCATTTGTTTCAATTTCGACGAAGAAGAGAGGAAGAGGATCCTGATTGGTGTACCGTTTGATGTTATTTATTCTTTTCACTTTATGACCATGATCTTCAATCTCGTTTGTTAGTTCTTCGATGTCAACAGATGGGTGTATATTTTTGAGAACAACTTTATAATTCTTATCCTGTTTTCGTTGAAAAGTGTAAAATTCAGTTTTTCTCTTTTTTAATTCCTCCACAATTGGTAGATATTTATCCGAGGTGCTCGGTTGGATTTTAATTTCTGTAGTAGATATCGTTTTCAAAGTGTATTTAGCATCAATTTTAGCTAACACTTCCATGAGAGGTTTGACATTGTGTACACTATTTACGTATATAGGAGGCGATTTCGGAGAGTTGTGTTTAGTCTCCGTTGGTTTTTTCGGCCTTGCTTTCAGTTTCATTATTTGAATTGAGAACACTGAAAGTGTTACTTACTGGCACTGGGCTGTTTAGCCAGTAATTTTTGATAGTGGTTTGCCTTTTTTTAGTGTCCTTAATAGAAGTAGGGCTCGTCCTAGTTCTTTTTTTAAGACCTTTCACCAGAGTCCAACTTTCTTCACACACTGTCCATTCTCTCGGCAACACCCGTCGAGGTAATTTCCATTTCTCGGTCTTACATATATAATCACTATACTTTAATCAGTTATTAAGTTTCATTTCGACATCAGCTTATGTATACATACAATACAAACGCGCACAGCGGGCCACAAGTACGTCCGCTCGCGGCGAGAGCTAATTCGAAACTAACTTTCGTAATTTATATTAATTTATTAATATTTTTATCATGCTTCACGATAATTAAATAAAAAATAATTTTACGTATTGAATAACATTCTTTACAGAAATTAAAATTCTTAGAAATATTGAATCAACTAGATATTCAGTACTATCTTTGTATAACATAAAATTAATATTATTCAATAAAAAATACGAAGCAAGATAATTTATATATACAAAATTGTGAGAAACAAAGGATTCCGCATAAACCTTATAAAAATTGAATTTCGGTCGAATTGCTTGAAAATTTGATATGTTGTAGATCTTGTCAGGATAAGAAGTCTCTCTTACAGGCACGACTCTGTAATAAACCGTTTGACCTTCACGAGGCATTTCTTTTTGAAATGGATTAATACTACAATTTCTTATTTTCAACATGTACAGTGCATTCCTACGTCATTATTTGCACTTTCTAAATATATTTTTAAATAAAAAATTATAAGGATAATATTCACCTGATTGTTTCTCACAAATCGGGGTGTTTGATTATTGTGAGTTTTGTATCACAAGATTCAATAAAAAAATGAATTTTAATTTTATTTATTAAAAAAATATAATTTTCTTACACGAAAGAAATATTTAACTGATAAGAACTAATAATATAAATAGTTATGAAAACAAATGTGAAAAGTAGCTTTAAAATGAATTGTTTGTAAAAGTAGTTATGAAATAGGGCCGTGCAAAGAGTTTTTGAGGCCCTATTGCAAAAGTAAATATGGGGCCCTATTTTTTCATAAAATTCGTATTAAAAAAGTTTTGAACAATAAAAAATATAAGAAAACAATAATTAAAATTATATTTATTTATTGTATTATATATTATTATATATAATAATATTGTATATATATATATATATATAATTCTACGTTATACACAGTAGAGTCTCTCTAAATTTGGTCTATGGGGCGATAAGAATGGAATGCCAAAATTATAGAGTACCCTCCCAGTAAAGAGAATAGATTGAAATAGATTAAAATGAAGATTTTTCGAAATACAGATTCATGAATATTAAAATGAATCCTTTTTAATCCTGAATACATTTTTATTCATTTATAGAAATTGCATGAAATAAATGTCTATTTCTTTTCAATCTTGAATGCGTTTTTATTCATTTATAGGAATAACATGGAGTATATTTCTATGCTTTTCAATTTAAAAATAATATTATAGTATTTTGTGTGGTGTAGTATGCATCGTGAATACTGCTTACTTATATAAAAATGCTACTTAATTAAAAATTCTGAATAGGAAATGCAGTTTTTCAATCCAGTTGAATCTAAATATCAGCCATTTCTGTGCATTGTAAATACTGCTAAATTCAAAATTCTGAATAGGAAATGCAGTTCTTTAATCCAATTGAATAAAAAAAAGTTTTTTCTTTTAATAGTCCATTTTCTTAAAATGAGTCATGAATACTATTTAAAATTGTAAGTAGAAAATCCATTGTTTCATTTAAAAATACATCATAAATGCTATTTTATTTAGAATTATGAATAAGAAATTTTTCGTTTTAATTTAACTGAGTTAAAAAAAAGTTGTACCGTAAAAATATAAATCATGAATTAACACTTACTATTTAATTAAAAGGATTCATTACACTCATAAATCCAAATTTATTTATCTTAAACTTAAACCTTATAGCTTGCACAACTTTCGTAACTTATTCGATTGTTTAACCCAATTGAAAATATACCTACGCTAGATACTTTTACTCTCATAAAATTGTTTTTTATTTTTCTTATTTTACATTCATGTTTTTAGCACTATGTTATACCGTGATCTAGCAGCGCCAAGTGTTTACTTCTTTAACTTTTTGTGGTAACGCTTGAATGGACAAAGTAACGCAATTAGAAATTGTATTCTTTATTTAATTTAGTATGAGATTTAAGTTGGCGTTGGTTGTTGATCAAATCTTTTATACGAATCGATGTCGATTTGATATCGATTTCATTCTCATTGAGTATTATTTAATTTTGTATGGAATTTAACTTGGCGCCAATTTTGTTGATATCAAATCTTTTATACGAATGATACATATTATTAGAGTTAAGTAACAAAAGATAGTACCACTTGCGTTTTATACTTTTTAATTTGATAGAATTTAATTTGATTAGTTAAAATTGTAACATCTGGGTTTTAATTTTTCATTTGCTACATTAGTTTTTTTTCAAGGAGTAATAATTTTGACAGAGAATTAAAGTTGCTATTACTTGGGTTGGAATAAAAAGACTTTCAATAACAATATCTTTGAAGAAAAATTAAAACTATTAAATAGGTTGAATACTTAGGTTTTATTCGAGAAGTATATTTTCTTAGATATGAAGCAACACAGCATTGACTTAAATCTCAAAAATTAAGTTATCATTTTGATATCCTTATAGTTTTTTTATGAGAAACAATTAAGTCAACATTATTCTTATAATTTTTTTGCTTAAAAATATACACCGAAAGAGCAAATAATAACGTAGAAATGCACTATACTCGTTGAAAATAAAATATAGTATTAGCTCGTTTTGAAAAATGATTCCACGTAGAGATCAAATGGTTCATTACAGAGAGACTCTTTTATCAGGACGACAAGATCTATAACATATCAAATTTTCAGGCAATTCGAAAATTGAAATTCAATTTTCATAAGATTTGTGCGGGATCCTTTTTTGATGACTGTTAAAATACTCTTAATAATTTTTATAATAACTACCCAGTCGTCTCTCAGAAATGATAATGGAATCGACATTAAATCGATGTTGATTCGATGTCGATTCCATTATCATTTCTGACTGAATAATTGACATTTTTATAGAATTGAATTCATTAATTGATCCCAAGCAAGAATGTGAAACAAGTGATACAAGTACACTAATAAACATAATACAAGAAAAGTCGACATGGCAACAGCAAAAAATTTTATTTTTACGAGCTCTAATCTACATAAAGAGAGATACAGTGAGTAGAAACTTTCAAAAGTAATATTTAAAGTAATCTTTTAATCGGATTGAAAAATTAAAATACTGTTGTTTTTGAATTAATTTTTCAGGTCTTAACAAAAATAAGATTTGTGACGCACATCAGTGTCGCGCTGTTATTAGGGACAGTTTTCTATAATTTTGGTGACGATGCGGAAAAAGTGAATAGTAATATCGCTTGCTTGTTTTTTTTTCTGTTATTTTTATTCTTTGTGAATGCTGAACGAACAATACAAACGTGTAAGTGATACAGTTTCTTCTTTTTTTATTTATAAACGTAATGTATTAATTATATGATTTTATTGTCAAACAAATTATATTATAAATTATATATTACTATAATTTTTAGATAAGTTTAAAAAACTGAAAAATCTCTGGCAATATTCTTGACGTTTAACAATATTATCGTATTTAAGATTATAATAAACGCGATTTATGAATTTCATAAATTGTGTCATGATAAAAATGCATTTGATTGTAGTTCCCATAGAAGCGGAAGTATTTTTAAAGGAATATTTAAATAATTGGTATTCTTTGAGATCCTATTATAGTGTAAAAATAATAACGGATCTCGTGATGCAAGTATGTTCAATACAATATTATAATTTTATTACTAACTATATTAAGTTAAACTGAATATGATTGTTGTTTTTAAATAAAAATAAACAATCGTCTATTTTGTAGATACTTTGTACATCAGCCTTCGTATTTATATCATACTATATGACAGGACAGCCAATGGAATATGATAGAATTCTAAAGACGTGGAGCATTTGTCTGTTGAGTATGATGCTTGGACAAACAGTCGGAATAATTGCAGGCACGGCATTTGGTACTGAGGTATTTCAACGATATCTTTTATTATTTTAAATAGAAATTGACCAAGAAATAATGTTCAATAAATAAGTGAAGAAAGCCATATCAACGCGGGTTTTGGTGCCTAATGTTATTTTTATGTGAATTTAATTTAACTTATGATATACTCCAATTTCAGTTTACGACTGTATTTCAAGACTAACAAATCGACACGCAGTTTGCTTGAACTGGAAATTGTAAAATTTGCACTAAAATATTATTATGTAAACACTAAAATCCTCTTTGAACTAAATATGGCCGTTAACAAGAAAAAAGTTATAATAGTTTAACATATTACAACATATTATATACGAAAGACGACTATAATCATATTATTTATAAGAGTCATTTATAATGATAAATTTTCCAATTCCTTGATCAGTTTACGATATTTAAATTTCAATTCAATTCTTTCTTACAGTTAGTATGAAAACATAGAAAACTAAACGTAATTTCTTTCAGTTAGGTATGTTTTTAATATCGGCAACTCATATACCATTATTGCTCTTCGCTGGATTTTTTACGAAAATAGAAGAAATGTCGCCGTACCTGCAGCCTTTAAGTATTACAAGCTATTTCAGGTATAATTTTATAATGCTGCAATTATTAATTAAAAACTTGTAGCATTTAATTTTATTATTACTTAGATATAATGTTTTTTATTTTAATCATCTTTTTTTTATTTAGAATGGTTATTTATTGAAAATCTCTACAAGAACATGCTTTTGTTGTACATCTATATAGTTTACTTTATTTTTTTAATTAAAAAAATTTACATTTTATTGCAGATATGCATTTGAAGGGATAATGCAGGCGATCTATCTTGGCCGATCGAATCTGAAGTGCTCGGAAATTTACTGTCATTTACGTTCACCAAGCAAGATTCTCTCAATGTCGAACATGCCAACAGTATCATTTTATGCAATTCCGATAATACTTGGCTCTTGGATACTCTGTTTACACGCGATCCATTATGTAATACTTCATTGGAAAATTTATTATGCAAAAAAATGATGAGTAAAATTAATATTCACCTCAAACTATAATACGTATATTCTCAAAAAAATGTTCTCAAGATATCTCAAATAAAAAATTACTTATTGAGCAAATTCTATCTGCAATATATGCAGAATCTCAAGAAAAATAATGGGATTAAGAATATAAACAGTTTTGTAAATTGTTTATATTTTACACTAAGTAATAACAACGTGTGAAAAAAGGTGTGAATTTTATAATTTCTAGTTTGAACAAACTATGCGTTGGTAACTGATTATGATGACAGTAGGAATTTGCGTTTTTTTAAAAGTAAATTAGGTTAAATAGCTTGAATGAAAGTGTTATGTGTTTAAGGCCAGATTGCACCAACGTTACTTTGACTTTAAGCGAGGCTTAAAAACTCTCACTTTCTCTTTTTAAAGCAGAGAAAAGATAGAGTTTAAAGTGTCATTTAAAGTCAAAGCAAGTTGGAGCAATCGCTTTCGGGGAAATGCTATTAGTGCTATTTGTGCCATTCTATCCTTATTATATATCTAATGAATGAAAGATAGAATAATACAAATAGCGCTAATATTACGTCTCCTCAAACTCACGTATAGAGAGAGTAGAAGCACTGTGTTTTTAATGTTTTAAATTAGCAATAAATTAAGAAGGCAAGATGCTAAGGTAATTGTAAATAAACCAGATTGGTAGAAGGATGTAGAAATGAAGAAAGTGGAAGAAGTAAAATATATATAAAGTATAGAAAGATAAAATAGATATTAAAGAAGATGGGCGGTATTAGAGATTTAAATCGCGAAAATTGCAGAAAAATATATAAGACGAGTAAGAAAATTAATTGTAGTAAAAAAAGATAGAGATAAGAAAACTATGCGAAAAAGAAAAAAAAATTAAAAAAAAAGAATAAAAAATAGAAAAATAAGGCAACAAAAATTTTGAAGTATTAAAGAATGCGAAATTTAAGATCACGAAAAAGATAGAAATACACAGGTAATAGCGGTAAGAAAATAATACTTAAGAAAAAGAAATATAAAGAGAGTAGAAATGAGATAATAGATAGAAATGATAATAGATTAACAGGAACAAATAAAAATTAGAAGTTAATAGAAATTGAGAGAAAAGGATTAAGATTTTTAAGGAAAGAAAATTTGGAATAAAAAGAGGTAATGGAGAGATAAGCAGAGGTATATTGTAAATAAAGATAGAAATAACGAGAAACTATTGTATATGTATATCGAAATTTGTACGTTAAGGATTATATTTAAAAAAGCCAACATAAAAAAATGGATGGACGGATGGATAAGGTAAAAAAATGTGAATCAAGTCCCCCTTCTTGGCTTATAATGCTAAAAGATAATAAAAATTCTATTTTGTATATAATATAAATTAAATATAAGATCCTAATTAAATATAATGTCCTAAAATATCTAAATGAATGATCAATATGAATAATCAATATGTTAATTTAGCAAAGTTGAGAATGTCAAATAACTCAGAATTTCTATTTAATTTATCTTCGTACATAAATAACATAGAGGCTTCGTTCCGTAATTCTCTGCGAAAGTCTGTTCATGTTACGTATACTATAGATTTTCATAATGAATAACGGAACTAAAAAATACAAATTACTTCTTAGACAAAAAGGATAAACAAATTAATTAGAATTTAATTTTTTGTATCTTTAGTCGGAAATAACACCTAAGCGAAGAAAACTAAATTCATTTATACTTCTTTGGCTGAAATAAATTTATACATTCTGCTTTTAGTTTGATGATACAAACTCCCTGCTTTCCTTTCAATATAATGTTATGTTTTAAAAAGAAAAGAAACAACTTGCGTTGTATAAGTTTATACATTCAATACCTTCAAAATAAATAAGAAAATTTTATAAACTTAATTTATACATTATCCTATTAACATATCTTTAATTTATTTTTCATGTATTTATTCATGAATAGTATATTTATATGTATGTGCGTATGCCATTAATACAGAATATATTAGTGCAGAGTGTGATTGACTACGTCGAAGATTGATTGTTTTCCGTCTGGTCTGCCATCATATTAAACTGGTTGTCATTAACGTACTGTTCTTCTGGATATTGTGAAGGATCGTATTCATATTGATTTTGATCATGCTCCATCATGTAAGTTTCCATATTTGAATCGTTCACTGGATACTCTTCGTTATTTTGTGCGTCTCCTTGCTGCTGATACATCTCTGCGGTTTCCATATCCGATGCAAAGTTATTTTGCATTAAGTTGCTTTGCATCTGATCGTTTCTCTTCGGCGCATCAGAATATATTTCTGACTCCTCGCCCACTATTTTTTGACCGCTCGCGATGTCATATCCTTGATGTACCATTTGCGACGCTTGAGCACCTGATCCATTTGTATGTGGCGAGACTACTGAATCCATCGTAGCGTTATAATGAAAAGCTCCAGTACCATCGTTAGTTTCCATAGTAATTCCTCCTGGAAAGTAATCCTTGTCACTCAACATTCGATGTACGTTTAAATTACAGATTTACGTAAGAATTAAATAAAAATTAATACCTGCGTGACTTACAAGGCTTCCTTGTATTTTACTTGACAAGTTTTCTATGTTGCTTTGTAAGTCGGCCATTTCTTCCCTGTGATAAATGAGTAACAGATATGATTTAACAGATATGGGGTTAAAAGTTAAGTTTGACTATTAGCGGAAAATCAGTGTCACATCGAGCATAATAATATAATTGTTATTTTCATTAGGACACTCTCGCTATTACTGTGCTGATAGAGATGTTTTGGAGGTGTCGGACTTCTTTTTTGGAATTACTTTTACTTTTAGATCAACCTTAACGGTACGTTTCTTGCTCGAAGGCGAAGCGGTTTGCCCAACCGTTGTCACATCTCTCTCAACGACCCCCTCTGTCAACACAGAATAGCCCTAGATATATATAATGGGAAGTGGTGCATTCTTATCTATACTAATATTGGCATCGTAATAAACGCGCGTTCAATAACGGGTGTTAATATACTCTAATAAATTAAGCTGCGCTTCTTCAGATATATGACTAATCAAGAAACAACTAAACTAAGGAAACGTCTGACAGCCTGAAGCTACGTGCGTTATATCTTTTCATTCGGTTTCCGCAAGTCGGACTAAGAATATACTTGTGTTTAAGATTGTTAGCTTCCAAACGCTGTGTGAGAGATTGGCATTCGGTGGTCAATCTCGAGACGAGCTTGGCCTGATTACTCAAGGCGTCTTCTAGGCCCGCTACCGTGGCAGCTGCGAAATTTGGTTGCCTTGGTCAGCCTGTTAGCTATATTAATTGACTTAAATCTCAATCTCCGCCTATGCTAGGCATATATAGTGTCAGGCATGCCGATTTCTCACACATATAAAGACAGTATTCTTAAGTCAAAATCATTGTCAACAAATACTACACTTTTTACGGACAATATACCTAACATAGGCATACCTAGGACGATATCTTACCATGTTTAGTCTCCATATCCATTATCATGGACGTTAATTCCTTCTCGTTTTCCAATCTAGGCGTAATTTCGCTACGATTCTCTTCAGATCTTATAATTTTACTCATACTGATCTGAAAAGGTATAAAAGACTTTATTTTATAACACTGCATTTTGCTAAAATTTCAATAATTATTTAATTTATTAATTATCAAAAGTTTCCGCGATTTAAATCTTCCGTATTGGAGTTAATTCAATATTATACTGTTAAATATTATAAATCTGCAGTGTTATGTTATGAAAGAGTCTACCATATATTAGTCCAAAGTATCATATCAGTATTCAGAAACTTTTTTGTCTATAATTTGGCAATTTTGAGACAAAAATATTTAAAAAAAACGTAAATGTGCCAAATTTTATTTTTTCTTTTTTTTTTTTGTAAATCTACTCAAACGTGTTCGACTGAGACTATCATAATGCTTAAGGAAATTTTTGAATAATGAAAAAAAATTTGAAGATAATGAAAAAAAAACAACGAAAAAAATCCATATAAAATAAAAATAAAAATAAAGAAATATAAAAATAAATACAGAAATTTTATTTTTTTAATTACATAAAACTTCCGAAAACTTTGATCATCGTATGCTAATAATACACGTAATATAATTAAGTATTGATTAGTTAAAATCATGTTCAAACATTTACCTCCTTTTCCAAAGATGCAATTTGTTCCGACAGTCGTAGATTTTCTCGTCTACAATGTACCAAATCAGCATCCGCTCTTTCCAGACGCTGCTTGTACGAATTTATTTCTGCCTGTAATCTGTTCTGCTCTTGACGAGCCTGCCTATCGTTTCGTTCAGTCGCTAGTTTACCAGTCAAGACTTCTTGTTCCGCCGCATCTTTTTCGCTTAAAGCTTGATTCAAATCACTCTGCAAAGTTGCTAAACACGAGAATATTTTTTTGTTTGCAATTTTGCACAAATAATTAAATTTTTAAAATTTTTAATATTTATCTATGTTTTTCTGATTCAAGTTACATATAGGTGACTTAAGTTATCTTAAGACATGACTCTCTGTCAAGATAATAAAATATTTCATTTGTATTCTATAGCAAATCTGTCAATTTGATGTACAACTTTCCGTTAAGATTGGACACAGTCGTCATAATGCGATCTTACTTATAATTAATTGTTTTTGCGACATTAATTTATATACTGAAGAGGATCCGAAACAAGGGTCGAAACGTAATTGCTTAATAAAGTTTTGATTATATCACACACTAATACCTTGTATTAGTTCATATTGACATTATACATATCAATAAACTTACATATTTTATTTTGCAGCTCTTTCTTCAGATTATCCATAGCGTTTTGTTTCTGAGATAATTCTCTTCTCAGTTCGTTTATCTCTCGCCGCTGTTTCTCAGACTCTAATTGCGATTTGTTAGTGGTCTCCCAATGGGTTGCAATATCGGCAGTAAGTTGCTCGATTTGCTGATTGTATCGACGTTCCACTTGTTGCCTTTCGTCAGTTATGCGTCTATTCGCGTCTTGGGCTGCCTCCCGTAGCTTTTCATGCTGCCTCTCCAGCTCATCTTTTAATCTTCGAATCTCCATCTCACTCTGATTCCTCTCAAACTCGATCTCATGCCTATCGTCCATAGATCGTTTCGCTCTCTGTGTCGCTTCGGTCTCTTTATCCCGCGCAACCGACAGCAGCTTCTGCAATTCCTCTAATTTCATTTCAGCTTCGTACTTGGCGCGTAAAGCCTTATCCAATTCGGCTTTTAATTCAGCATTGCTCTCACTTGAACCACTCTCGAACAAACGCTTCAAATTTGCCTGATTCTCCTCCTGTGCCTTTCGTAACTCCAGTTTGGCTTGGGTTAATTGCGCCTCCAGCTCACTAATTCTCGACTCAAATATTATACTGGGTCCTTCCAAGGATTTCTCACGTTTGCATTCTAATGTGTTATCAACATGGCCGCTCGTTTCTTGCTTGTGACATTCGTGGTTTGCTCCAAAGTGATCTTTATGATCCTGTAGAACGCACTTGGACAATGCAACTTGATTTCTGCTATGCAATGCCTCGTTTTCAGCTACGACCTATGAAAAATCGTGGTAATTGAAAATGATAAAAAATGTCATTATGTTCTGTTCATCATTATTCTGATAGCTAGGATACCTGAATATTCTAATATTGATTTGAAAAAAAAAATTATACCTCACGAACTTTACTCAACAGATTGATCAATTCATCTCTACAATATTGAGACTCTCGTTCCAATTGTTCGATATAATCCTCCTGCCTTTCAATGAAGGACGTTAACTCCGGAGGAACAGACTGAAGATCGGCTCTCGACAATGCTATATTACTGTATGCCTTTGA